TTTTGCAAGTTTTATTATAAATTTTACTTACCATCTAATTTTCTTCCGGATCTCAGTATGCAAGTTTCTGAGTTGTTATTAGCTTTAGCTAATGCTAATAACTTTTTAGTTCTTGACGTCATATCTTTATGATATAATTAAACACTGCTTATAAGATCTCATACAGACCTTAAGACGTGCACTAGTCGTTATGAGACAGCTAGACAAAAGTACAAGACGTCAAGACGACAGACGTCACTAAATGAAATAAAAATTAGGAGTAGGGACGCGTCTAGTAGACCCTTCGCTGTTAATAATATTGTTATCGACATTTACTATTGGCCAATGGGCAATGACCATTGAGTATAGTTTTAGGAAATTCCAAAACTCTATAATATCAAACATTATATTTATTCTGATTACAGAAATAATAGTTATTTTTATTCACATTTCATATTTCTGTATTTATAAAATAGAATTATGTGCTAACAATTATATATATATATACTATATTAATATTATAGACTATCGCTTATTGCAGTTTTGTGTTATACTGTTATATCTTTACGAGTTCCATAATCTCTTTCATAATATTATTCGTTATTATGGCTTAGTATGAGCTAAATGCTTTTGATATATGTAATACGTCGGACCTCTTAACGACTAGGTACTACCTCTAATACCAAGACGGTAAGGCCGGGGCTATACATGGAGGATACCGCCGCGTTTTCCGCGTCGTTTTTCGTGGAATTAAAAAGGCTGGTTTAAATCGGAGCAGCTATACATGACGATAGCCGTATTACTAATTTACTATTATTAATTATAGTAAACTAACCTAATGGCTATTACTGCGGCATACTTTTTCAGACATATTTTATTTAATTAATAATTTTTATCAGTTTTTTTCTACACTGACTTTTTGATTTTAAATAATACAACCAAAACATAAATTTATTTTTAATTTTTGTCGTATAATTATATGATTTTTGGCTGATGGCAGGCGCACATTTTTCCTAGACGCTTGATAATTCTATAAGTTATAATAACACTTAATACTTAAACGTGGAAACGCGCGGTACAAATAAAAGTAATTCAAATAATAAATTCAGTTAAAGAAAATACAAAAAATAATAAAATAATATAATTTTTGTTTTTATTTTTAAAATACATACTTTGCAAGATATATATAGATTGTAGATACAGATTTAAGGAAAATATTTTCTTTTATATATAAATGCATATTTTGGACATTTGGTATATTTTTATGTCCCCTGGTTATAGTCACGGCACATGTACAACCTAATATCAAAATAATACATAGAAAATAAAAAGTGATATTGTTTGTGGTTAATGGTTTGTTGTTGGAAACTGTTAAATACTCGAACGTCACTTTATACCCTCATTTATGGACTTTAAACATATTATATAACCATGTTTTTATTAGAGATTATAATAATAATTCTTACGAAAAAATATTTGACAAATTTGTTTAAAACGTTTCGATTATTTTCCACAATTGTATCGTACATGTACCTACATATGTACTTAAATGGTATGTTTTAAATAATATCCAACTAGGAAATTATAAGTCGCGACACACTACTTATAGTAAAAGAGTTTAAATAACATTTATACGCATTATCATAATTGAGAACAATTTATTTCTCTACGAGATCCACAGTTCTTGCAATAGAGTACCTATCGGTTAGTATCATAATTATTTAAATAATTACAAGCAGTATAAAACTACTGGATCTCTTAAAATGCAGATATAACTCCAGCACACACAAAATGCGACGTTGCCGCTGACAATGAGTATCTCGGATCTCATAAAAGGCTAACAAGTATGGCAAAAAACATACATCAACTAACATTTTAGCCACGCGCAGATACAACCGAACACACAAATGATGTATAAAAATATCGTAACGAGATCCGATAAATTTCTGACTAACTATGACCGTAATGGGCTGAAACACTATTTTCAGTGAAAAACGTTGAGAGTTCCGCCCTTTTGGAGCTCACAACGAAAACGGATCTCGTGACGCTGCTCAGTTTCCATATGTTGGATCTCGGAACATACTATGTGTACGACCACACACACACACACACACACACACACACACACACACACACACACACACAAACACACACCGGAACACGAACTTGTCGTGCACGCGCATTGACGGCTAACAGCTGATGTAGTAGGTAGCAGCGGTGTAGTAGGTAGGTCTTATCACCGTTTTGTTTAGTGTAGGAGGTCTGAACACTAAACTAAATAATATATTATAGATATTTACGCAAAATTCATTAAAGTCAAATCCAAAAAAATTATGGCAATTTTTAAAAAGTGAACGTTCAGATAACTCTATTCCAACGTTGATGACGTAAATAATAAACTTATAAGCAATAGAAAGCATTTTGTACATAGTTTTTCTAAATATTTTTAAGTGTTTATGATGTGACCAGCCTTAATCTCATATGATCCTAGTACAATCTCCCCGGGTTTTGACTTATCGCAGTTAAATTTATGATCAATAATCTTAAACGCCACGGATGTTCTTAATGAATTATCTTTTGAGCAGCATGGTTTCATGACTGGTAAAACAAAGCTACAAACCAATATTTGTTCCAGAATTGTATTTTAGATGCATTCGTGAAAATCGAAAAATATAAAAATTTCATTTCTGATCCATTTAAAGTTCCGGCTGGTGTGCCCCAAAGCTATCATTGGGCTCATTTACTATTTTTATTATTAATTATAAATGATATCAACTTTGTCAATTCAACTAAATTACTTTTTGTTGACCATTTAAAATTAATCCGAATAGTTACTTCATTTTTTGATGCATCACTTTTACAAATAGATTAGAATTTTCTGTCGGACTGGTGTACGGTTCATAAAATTAACTTACCACTAAACATTGAAAAGTGTAAATTAATAATATTTTATAGGTCTCGGGTTCCACTTCTTACCATATAAATAAGTCTCTATTTTGATATCAGTGATCGAGGTGTAATATTCTATTTAAATATATCGTTCAATAAACACCAATTATATATAACTAGTAAGTGCTGTATGATATTAGGATTTATTATAAGGAACTTTAAAGACTTCAATGACCCCATTGCTATAAAAACGTTATTTACTTTTTTAGTCCGAGCAAAATTAGAGTATAATTCACTGATTAGAGAGAGTTCAAAATCGTTTCAAACGTTTTTTAGCTTTGAAATATAATATTTTCCGTTAGCAACATTCTCCTTACCAGCCATTATTAAATTTGTTTCGCATTGATTGCTTATCAGATAGAAAACGAAATAGATAAAATGTTTACTAAACTTGTAAACGGATAGGTACACTGATTGTCCAGAACTATTAAGCTTCTTCAATTTGAACGTTCCTCCGCGTAAAATTAGGTCTACTAATATATCGTATATAGGTTCTCAAAGTACAAATTATTCTTTATCTTCACCTATCAACAGAATTATGTCATTAACTAATGATAGTGACATTGATTTATTTAAATTTACTTCCCTGGAACCTTTTAATAATTATGTTAATAGATTTTTATGTTTTTAATGTATTTTTATAATTATTATTCTTATTAATATCATTGTCTATATTGAACTATTATGTATAATGTATTGTACTTGGATCTTACAATCCGTTAGAATTTAAATAAATTAATAAAAAAAAAAATATAAATAATATTTTAATATTACTATAATATATTATAATACTTGCATTTTGTGCAAGCATAAAGTCTTGCACCGGCGTATTGTATAGGCAAAATAGGTACATTACTGCAGTGTTGAGTATGGCAATATTATCCACAATGATTACATTTTAGCTCGTCAAAATATCATTCCCCGATAGTATGTGTTGGCTGACAAACTAAACCGAATCATACCCATACATTATTTCATTTGTCAAGTCTTAATGTTCAACTATGTAGAAACGTATGTTAGGAATTGAAACACATTTTAAGCGTGGAAAGCATAGGCTATAGTGTTCTAAAAAAAAATGCAAAATTTAAAACTATAAAAAGAGACCCCTCCAATCACCATTAACTAGATCCTAGACATATTATGCACGTCTATCTTGCCTTTACATTTATAAATCACATGACACATGACTTTATGTCACATACCAATTATAAATAATAGTACAATAATGTGTGTTTATTTTTTCTTATAAAATTCAGTTTTAATTTTTAACACGGTTAAAGTTAATTTAAGTTTGAAAATAACTTGAACAAGACACAGCGCGGTATTAAATGTGGTCACGTGGAATGACGAATATAACTAGATACAGATATCATGAGAAGTGCTTTCGGAAAACTTACGATAGACCATAATAACTTACAATCACACAATAAATATCATCGTTAAAAATCAATAATAAATTATATTCCCATCCGCGGATGGAAATTAAATTATGCTAAATTAACAGATTTACAAATTGGCTATTATGAATTTTCAACAAATTTTTACATCAGATTTAAATTTTTAATTTCATCATTAATATAATATGAAAAATGTCATACTCACGAGTAACGCAAGCGTCTGTAAATTATAAATAAAAAAAAATAAAATTACCATGTGTGTTACCAGTACGCGTGTGGGAAGTTAAACTTCTTTTGAATGGTACACGTGAGTGAATGAAAAAGAAAGAAAAAAATATTAATTTATTTAAAAAATGAGAAGAAGTATCTGTAATGATAACATACTATTATTTGTATGATAACGTTAAATATGTAATGTTGGCATCAGTGTCGCTCATACACACATGACTCGTCACTTGTTGTATGTGTTAGTGCGTCCGATCATTAAGTTAATATAATACTTCTTCTTAAAACGTGTGTCTTGTCTTTTAATGTAACACAATATAAAAACCTTCACATCTAAGTATATAACATGGCGCAGTCGGTTTAGAACACGAGTTAGTCTCATACGCGAATCGATTATGAAATAGATTAAAACGGTTAATCGGATAAACGACGATAAAAAAAAAAAAAACGATGGCATTGGAATTCAATAAGCCCAGTGGTTTGTGCCTCGAAGGAAACCTGTCTGAAAATTTCAAAATATTTAATCAAGAAATAAAAATATATTTTAAAGCAACAGAAACAGACAAAAAGGATAAAGATGTACAAGTGGCTCGATTATTAAATTTGATGGGTCATGATGGATTGAAATTGTACAACACAATCAAAAAAAGTGGTGAAGAGTCAGTTGAGTCCATATTGGAAACATTAGAAGAATATTGTATTCCCAAAACTAATGAAATCATTGAACACTTCAATTTCTTTAATAGAAAACAGCAGGAAGGTGAACAGTTTGATGTATGGTATACTGATCTCAAAAAACTGATTAAAGGTTGTAATTTTGGTGAAACTGAAAATAAAATATTGAGAACACAAATTGTGTTAGGAATATTTGACAAAGAAACGCAGACAAGACTGCTAAGGGATGATATAGAATTAACAAAAGTTGTATCGTACTGTCAATCAGTTGAACGTGCAGAAAGCAATAGAAAAATGCTGACTTCTACCAATGAATCCGACAAGGTGATACATGAAGTTGGATACAAGACAAGATGGGAAAACAAGGATCAAAATCAAAACAACACTTGGGTGAAGAACGAGAAGTGTGGAAAACAACGAAAAGGCAATTATTCAAATGGACATCAAATAAGTAAAACAGGTAATGAATTTAATAATATGATAGATTGTAATAGGTGTGGTTTAAAGCATGTGTATAAAAATTGTCCAGCATATGGCAAATGTTGTAAAAATTGTAATGGGTATCATCATTTTGCTAAGGTGTGTAAAAAGAAAAAAGAATTTAATAAGAATGAAACAAAAAAAGCGCAAGGAATAGTGGTTGAAAATAGAGAAGAGGAGAATATGTTTTCTGTAGAATCTGTACATAAGTTATGGTCGATTAAAAATGAATGGTGTAAAACGTTTAAGGTTAATGGTAAAGATATGAATTTTAAATTAGATAGTGGAGCTGAGATTAATACATTATCAGAAGTGGATTGTATAAATCTTGGTTTAAAAGAACTAATTAGAACTACAAAAGTTACACTAGAAGTATACGGTGGATTTAAAATGAAACCCATAGGTGAGGTTAAGACTCTGTTAACGTTAGGCGACAAAAATGTAGAGACAGAATTTATTGTAATTGATAAAGCTTATAATAGTAAATCAATAATTGGTCTACCAATGCTTACAGAATTTGAGTTATTAAGAAATGTAGATTTTATTACCAAAAAGAATGAGGAGTCTGGAAAAGATAATTTTATTAAAAGAAACATTGATGTTTTTGAAGGTGTAGGTTGTTTCCCAGATGTATGTAAACTGAAATTAAAAAAAGGTGTAGTACCTAAAGCTAGTGTGGCAAGAAGAGTTCCTATAAAAATCAGAGATAGGTTAAAATTGAAATTAGAGGAACTTGTAAAAAAAGAAATAATAACTCCGATGGATGAACCATGTGAATGGGTAAACAATTTAGTAGTAGTACAAAAACAAGATTCATCGCTGAGAATTTGTCTAGATCCGAAAGAATTAAATAATGGCTTAGTAAGAGAACAGTTTACAGTACCAACATTAGAAGAGATTACTCCAAAATTGGTTAGTAAAAAATATTACAGTGTTCTGGACTTAAAAGATGGGTATTACCATATTAAGCTTGATGAGAAGTCAAGTAAGTACTGTACGTTTAGTACACCTTTTGGAAACTACAGATTTTTAAGGTTAGCGTTTGGATTAAATGTGGCACCAGAACTGTTCATGAAGCAGAATGAAAAATATTTTGGAGACATAGAAGGTGTAATTATATATTTTGACGACTTATTAATTGCTGCAGAGTCAGAAGAGCAACATTATCAAATTATGAATAAGGTTGTAGAGAGAGCTAGAAAATATAACATTAGGTTTAATATTACAAAACTGCAATATAAGCAGCGAGAAGTAAAATTCATGGGATTAATTTTTAATGAGAAAGGCATGAGTCCAGATAGTGAGAGAATAGAAGTCATTAAGAAGTTAAAAAATCCTAGTAATAAAAAAGAATTACAGCAGATATTAGGTGTTGTAAATTTTTTGAGACAATTTATACCAAACATGTCTGAAATAATTAGCCCAATGAGAGATTTGTTAAAGAATGATACAGCATGGAATTGGACAGATGAGCACAGAAAAATATTAGAAATAATAAAAAGTTTAATTAGTGAAAAATCATTATTAGTACATTTTAATGCCAAAGAAGCAGTGCAAATACAGTGTGATGCGTCCAAAGATGCTATTGCATGCTGTTTATTACAATCAAATAAACCAGTATGGTTTGCTTCGAGATCGCTAACAGAGACTGAACAGATGTATGCAGTAATTGAGAAAGAGCTATTAGCTATTACATTTGCTGTAAAAAAGTTTCATTATTACATTTATGGTCACAATGAGGTTAAAATATATACAGATCACCAGCCGTTAGTGTCGATTGTAAAAAAGAATTTAGAGAAGATAGAGAACAATAGATTAAAACGATTAAAATTAAAATTAATAAATTATAACTTTACGTTAGAGTATTTGCCTGGGAGATATATGTACATAGCAGATTTGTTAACTAGAAACATAATACATAAAGAAGAGAAAGATGATGAATCATTGAAAGACTTAATACATACGGTGAAGATTACAGAAATAAAATACAGTACAGAAAAACTAAATGAATTAAAACTAGAAACAAATAGAGATGTGGTTTTACAAAGAGTGAAAGAGTATTATTCAAATGGGTGGCCAAACAAAATAAAAGAGAATAATGAGATTAATCACTTTTACAAATTGAAATCAGAGTTGTCAATTGAGGATGGACTGGTATACTTTGAAAATAGAGTAGTCATACCGAAAACATTGAGAAGTGATATGCTTAAAAAACTGCATGATAGTCATCAAGGCGTGTCCAAAACAAAAGAGTTAGCAAAACAACATGTTTATTGGCCAGGTATAATGTCTGATATTACTAATTTAGTATTAACATGTCCTATTTGTAATAAATACAACAGAAGTAATAAGAGAAATGAATTATTGAATCATGAAATACCAAATATACCATTTGATAAAGTAGGAGCGGATATAGCTCATTATGGTGGTAAGGACTATTTGGTGATTGTAGATTATTTCTCAAGGTGGGTAGAAGTGAGTAAATTAAAATGGAAAACCGCAACAGAATTGAGCAAAAAGTGTAAGAAAATATTTGCAAGGTTTGGTATTCCTAGTATATTAATTGCTGACAACATGCCTTTTAATAGTTTTCAATTTAGATCATTTGCTAAAGAGTGGGGGTTTCAAATAAATAATTCTAGTCCAAATCATCCTATTAGTAATGGATTATCAGAAAAATATGTTGGTTTAGTAAAGAAAATGATTAAAAAGTGTAGAGAAACAAACGGTGAGTTAGAAGATTATTTGCTTACTTATAGAAATACACCACTAGCTAATATTGGTCAATCTCCTGCAAGTTTAGTTCAAAATAGAGTCTTGAAAACAAAATTACCTATTAGGACCATCCAGGTAGATAAAAATAATATAATAAAAGAAAAAATGATAGAAAACCAAAACAATCAAAAAAGATATTTTGACCAAAAAGGTACGGTAAAAGAAATCTTATTTGAAGAAGGTGAAAAGGTATGGTTACAAGACAAATTTAACAAAAGATGGAGTGTGGCAACAATAATAAAAAAACTTGAGTTACCAAGATGCTACTTGGTAAGAGATGAGAAAGGAAAGTTGGTGAGGAGAAATATTTTTTTCCTTAGGAAAAGGAAAACATTAAGTTTGGAAGTTGATGTGGAAGGAGATAAAGTAAATAGAGAAGAGACAGAAGAGAAAATAATAACTGTGGAAAAATTGAGAAGAACAGAGAGACAAAGCAAAAAACCAGATAGGTTGATGTATAACTAATATATAGTTACTATATATGCTGATTATAAAAAAAAAAAAATGTTATTACTATTTTCTATGTTACTATGCTGATTATAAAAAAAAAAAATGTTATTACTATTTTCTATGTTACTATGCTGATTATAAAAAAAAAAAATGTTATTACTATTTTCTGTTACTATGCTGATTATGAAAAAAAAAAAAAAAAATGTTATTATATTTTATGATATTATGTTAAAAAAAAAAAAAATTACTAATTATGTTATTAGAACTAAGTCTTGTTAAAAGTAATGGGGAGGATGTAATGATAACATACTATTATTTGTATGATAACGTTAAATATGTAATGTTGGCATCAGTGTCGCTCATACACACATGACTCGTCACTTGTTGTATGTGTTAGTGCGTCCGATCATTAAGTTAATATAATACTTCTTCTTAAAACGTGTGTCTTGTCTTTTAATGTAACACAATATAAAAACCTTCACATCTAAGTATATAACAGTATCCGGAATTATGTATTATTGATAGTTTTATTATTTTTTTTATATTTTTACTGAAACACATTTTAAGCTTGGAAACCATCGTTATTGTTCCAAAAAAAGATACCAAAGTCATCAACAGCCGGGCCTAATTTATAAAGTATAACTAGACAAAAATACCCCTCCATTACCTAAGTCTAGACTTATGCACATTCGTTACTTGAATTTATGTTTATAAATCACGTCATAAGACATGACTGAAATTAATATGTATTATACATACTCATTGCGTAATAAATTTATTAGAAAATATATTTTAATCACAGTGTTGTCATTAAAAAATCATTATTATATAATTTGATCTAATGAGTTTGGTAAATAAATGATGTTCATTTATTTAATAATAATAATAATAATGTTATAATATTAAAGTTATTTATAATAATTTTTATTATAAATAATAGTTTTATTTACTATCAAACAAATATAATTTTCTAACGGATTGAAAAATAGTTTGTTATAGGTACCTATCATACCAACAAATATCAATTTCCTACTTCAAGATGAACATTTTTCCCAACATTGCATTAAAAAATAATCATTATAAATTAAAACTGTTACAATTCACGGTAGCCAGTAGGTATAGGTTTTAGTGTATTACTATGATAAACAATAGTTATTATGAATTCAGTTTTATCATACAATTTACAGTGGGTATTTATAAACAATATAAACCTATATAACCGGCTTAACCGCATGCTCTTAAAATTTAATTTAATTTAATTTTTTCTTTTTATATAATATAATAACATTTTATTTGTGAGTATAAAAGTTAAAACATTCAATAAATACAAGGTTATTATGATTTGTTTATACAACAGATAAGAAATACTGAAAAAACGCATTATAGTAAAATTATATTTATGTAATTAAGTATAAAAAGATAATAAGATATTAAGAAGCTTAATTCTAAAGTTATAATTATTACGAAATAATAAACAAATAAAAAACAAAAAAATTATCTTTAATAAGTAGGTAGGTATAATATCAGTGATATGTCCCTACATTATACATGATGCATATAAACGAGTAATTCGTGGTCGTTGAGCTTAGAGTCAGTGTCGCTGCGTTATGGTCTTTTGTATAATAATCATTCAGGGAACAGGTGGCCCTGTCGGCGTCTGCCAGGGAAAACGACAAATGCGACGTCGTTCAACAACGGACACTGTTCAGGGGACTGTTGTTGCATAACATTGTCTTGACTATTATAGTTTACTATCGATCTACTTAAGTACCTATCGTAATAAAAAGGTGAAACCTTGAATAGGTACTCTCGGAAACTAATAATGCTGATCATAATGATAATAACCTTGGTTTTACCGTTATGCGGACGTTCCTTGATTGTATCGTTAATAAATAATAAGGGCAAATAATTCTGTGACGTTACATGGTTAATGAGAAAATGATTCATAACGTAAAGAGTTAAATACATGAGTTTCATTCACCTGTAAATGATCGCATATGTTACATTAAGATATCTGGGCGATATTTTGATTTAATTTTAATAAACTGTTTCTCACCTAATAAACAGAGCCGATGATATAAATTAAAAGTTCTATGATGAATTAAAAAAGTTATGAACAACTTAACAACGAACTGCTTAAAAATGATAGTTGGTGATTTTAATCAAAAGTTTGCAAATAAAAAATGTACATACCCATTGTAGTTCGTATGAAACAAGCAATGATAATGGTACAAGACAAATATTCTTGCTACATCACAAGAACTGACAATAAGTAGCACTTCCTTAGATACCAAGAAATAATATATATAAATACACAAGGGTCCCTCCGAACTCCCTAGTACATAATCAGATACATCACATATAATGATAAGTAAAAGACACTCTGGTTGTCACAAACAACATAATACAAACTCTACATCAAAATACACTGTAATACTGTATTACCTACTTCATTACTGTATAGTGATGGCATGAGCCATTGTTGTTGCGAATATAATAAAAAAAAAAAAAAGCATCGCTTATAACAGTTATAATTTATAATAATAGTAATAATATAATAAAAAGGGCACAGAGTGGCCGAGCTTATTAAGGCAACGAATGCGACGCGCACCGTCACTAGTTCGAATTTCGGTCATGGGAGGCACTCCTCACATCTGTCTAGAAGGAGAGACTGCCATCCCCCAACCAGGCATGGCAAAAACCTACAGGTGCTCAATTAGAAATGTTTTCAAACTAAGACACACGTGATTACAAAAAAACCTACACTACCCTGCCATACGGTTAAAATCCACCCAATGGCCTAATTTAAATCGGGTTAATTAATAAAAAAAATATAATAATAATAACTACTATAATGAATACCTAGTTAGTAGCTTACCTTTACTGATCTGTCCTAAACTTACATCCACTGTTGAGTGATATCTAGATTTGAATTAATACCATCAACTTCTTATATAGATAACTAAATAAACTATTTTCTAATATGTATCGAAGATTTAAATTATGGAAATCTACATAAATATCTAAATGTTTTTATGCCTATATAGGTGTATAAATATTCTTAATATTTTGAACATTTTATTTTGCATACAAATATTACAAGTATAAATATTCAGTAACACTTAATAACGAAATTGATTATTTCGAAAACTGGTTTTCAGTAAGAAAAACTCAGATTTTCCTTATTTTTTTTTTTATTACGCTTTTGAATACTTTTGGGAATTTTTATTTTTAACCTTACCAACTAGATTCACTTTCTTATCAGAAAAGAGGCTGTTGAAGAAAAGCCCATAATTTTTGCTGCCAAAAAAATGGATTGCAGATAATAAAAACACACATCATTGTGAAATCAATACATTCATCGCTCCTCTCAGAACCTAAAATGTTGCTCTAAGTATTCTACCAAATCATAAAATTCAACCACATCAAAAGATTTTGGAAATAATACAATATGAGTATTCAATGGCCGATATCTTTCCAAATATTTGTATGGCAATCCTTTGCAAATTTTCAATAATTTATATCTGGTTTATAAACAACACATGAACAGGTATCTTGAATAAATGTTCAACTTTTTGAAATAATATAATATTATAATCCATAAATAGAATCATGTGACTATTATGTGAGAGATTACCGTCCGTAACACGTAAAGTCTTCTGCATGTAGCAAATTTGTTACATCCGTTGTATTCGTCGTAGGTTAGGTAAAATAAAATTATTAATTTAAACTGTTTTAAAATTGAGTATAAGAAAATATGTATTATATAATATAAATGATTAAACTCCCTCTTCTTTATTATAATTGCAAAGCGACTGTTTTGTACGATAGAAGTGTCGTATTGAGAAAACTGACGATGAAAATTCGAAATCGGACGAATGTATGTTGAGTATAATCATTACAGACAATATCTCCTGGACAATGAAGAAAACGCATTAGAGCTGTGGCACCAGTCCATTTTATTTCCAAACCGAGTATAGGTAACTAGGTAATGTACATAATAATATACTCTATATTATAATGAAGTCGTTAATGTACTTGTTGTTAATTATTGGTAAAATGTTAATTTAATAATTTTTAGATTATTTTTTCACAAAAAAATACATATATACTAATTTGGTTAATAGTGATATAATATACAACAACTATATAGCAGTCTCCTCCGTATCATCGAAGTCGTCAGCCGTTTACAAATCAGACAATGTTTACAAAATAATACTATCACAGTATATATTATGTATATATACTATACCTATATGTATATATTTATATGAATAAATGTAAAACAAATAATATAAACATTGACTGCATTATAAATGGCGGCCGGCTTCAACATATTTCAAAACTGTAGTATAGAGACGGCGCGGCGATCTAGTTGTTGTCTATCCATGATATATACCTGGTGGGAATTAGATAATTTTTACATTTTACTCGTTTCTGTGGTGATAAACAAAGCATTACTCAAAATCAGTTAAAAAATAATAATATCTGTACACAACCCATAAACATATTTATGTTAAAATGGTTATGTGGAATATGGAATGTGAGGGTCCAATGCGGTTGTTGAAAAAATGCAGGTACCCACCCCTGCAAACGATGACAATGAAGGTAAAAAATAATCTTAATTTTAAATATTAATCTTTAATTTGATGTAATAGATTCAAGGCACAAAATAGACTCGTCTTAGGAACTTTATTATTCACTTTTCAGATACAAAACTCATACCTACAAACTTCGCATTTGAAAGTATTAGGTATATAATTTATGGGGAAGTTGTGCTCACATTTTTGTCTTACTAATGCATAATTTAACAATTAATTGTATGTTCAGAAGAATCCATTATATTTAGTTATTTCTAACATTAGAGACTAGAGTGATTGACCTATATTATACAATTTAAAGTTATGAATTTTATTCGGCTCACTAGCAGACAATTTATGATATTTTAATTTCAAGTGGCCTATGAGCATTTCATATTTAAAATGTAGGTATTAAATGAAAAGTATCAATGTAGT